TGAAAACTCGTGTGTCCCCGCCATGCCTGAGAACATACACAAGATAAAAACAGCATATTTTTAGGGAGCAGGAAAAAAGGAGGAGAAGGTTCATTAACTGATGATGAACTAATTTTATACGTACAACATTGTTTCTGACAATAAACCTACCTTAGTTGTAATCCCTTGTTCGTTCGCGTAGATCCAAGTTGATAAACCTTTGCTGTCTCCACTACATCCATAATTTCAGCAACCTTGCAACAACAAGAGAATCACACCCAACTTCACTAATCAGCCTTTATCTAAATAAATCTATGTCTCATCACAGTGCTGTCAAATATTAAACTCTGTAAAAGAATCCAAACTCACCCTATAAACTGGTTTACTGCTGCTGTTCCCAATCCCTATCCTCACAAAGCAGCCTGTCACTGTCTTTGCAAAGAACGGCATGTGGCACCAGCGTTCCAGCTTGTTTCTGGACAGACGGACCCTATTCAGCTCATCGGGTAGAGAAACAGGCTGCGACTTGGGAGGAGTCTCCTCTTTTCTGTGAGCAGAAACACAACATAAAGAGTTAAAGCGGAGGTAAGGGTTGTTTTTTGATAAATGTTTCATTGGTTAACCACTATGCAATGAATGACACTCACTCATCATCATCATAAGAAGATGAACGCGAACTCCGATCACTTTTCACTGAGGACTTGTCGTCATCTTCCTCTTCTTCCTCCTCATCATCGGAGTAAACCTCACTCGTCTTCAGGGGCAGACGTTTGGCCAGAAGTTCAGCTGCTCACCAAAGAGAAGAAGCATCAGTAATTAGAACTGGATGAATTGTCACAAACAGTCATGTCACGGCTGAGTAATAAAAAAACACACCTACCTGTTTTGTTTTTCTTTTTCTCACGTTCAGCCTTTAGTTCTTCCATTGCCTGGGACTTTTTGTCAAGTTTTTCGTCACGTTTGGATCGTCTCTCCTTGTTGTGTGACATGACCTGGAGAACGGTGCACATTTAAATCACGTAAAGAGACGTGAACACATCAGTGTGATAGTCATGTTTGTCTAAAATCTTTTTAAATTGTCCACGGATCTGTACCCACCACTTGTGTGTCTTGAACCTGAGATTGCTTCCTCTTTTCTTGTTCTTCCTCCTGCTTCTTTTTCTTCTCCTCCTTCTCTTTCTTCTTTGCCGTCTTCAGCTTCTTCTTAATTTCAAAGCTGTGAAAACACACGTCGTCTCGGATCAATAAATGGTGAACTTGGTCGTTGAGAAATGGGATGAGTGAAAATGGGATATTTTCAAATCAATTAAATATCCTGGTGTTTCCTGTAGGTTGAGAAGATGTTTTCTCTGCTCACCGTCTCTTTAGCACCTCTCTTTTCTCAATTCTGTTGAACAGCTCTTGCTCTCTTTCCTTCTCCGTCATCTGCTCCAGACGAGCTCTGTCCTCCGCGTCTCCCATCAAGTCATCGTCGTAACCGTCCCTAAACACCTCGTCCTCTGAGGAGTCCGAGTCTGAGCTGGAGGACGAGCTGTTGCTCTCTGAATCAGACACCTCACCTGATAAAGAGCAATTCACACACATTAAAAGGAATCACTTCATTGTCAGAGGGTTGGATGTCCTGAGTCCATCTTCAAGTTGGTCTTCGAGCCAATTCTTTGTATTTTAAAAATATTTAACATTTTTTCAGTATGGACCTCATTAAGCTCGACACCATTCTATTCCTTTAATTTACCCAATTGTCCTCTCGACACTCATTTTAACGTCTCCTGAAAGATTGTGTGTGCAACATCTGAAGAATGCATTTTATAAACTCACATAGCTGAAATGAGAGTGACAGATTTTGAAATGTTTTCAATTTTGAACAGCTGTGCATTTTGCATTTATATTCGACACTCGTGATAAAGGCTATTTCACACTTTCTTGCCAAGTATATCATCATCATCATCTTAAACCACCTTTTGATCCAATTTCCAGAACTGTTCCTTAAAGACTTTTCCATTTTTCAATAACCATGTGGCTCCATTGCAGATCAATGCAACACAAATACACAAACAGATTAGATGCTACACTTTGAGCCAGTGGGAATAAAGGGGATGAGCAAGTGACTCACCTAATCCCAGCCTCCTAAAATACTTGAGGACACGGCACTCAGTGATTTGAGTGATCTACGTTTAAGAATATTTCTGCTCATTCTGATTTGCTCTTAAGATACCATTAATACTATACACAATAAGACACCATTTACACAAGGCCATGTGTGGCAGCTTTTAGAATATAAATGATTCTCCACTTACCCTCTTCAGGTGCAGAGCTCTCAGCTGAGCTGTCTCCATCAGAACTGCCGGACGCTGTTGCTTTTCCAACTTTCTTCTTCGTTGTGTTCTTCTTCTCAGACCCTTTGCCTTGCTTAACTTTCTTTTTACCTTTGGTTCCACCCACGGTCCACTAGAAAGAAGAATAAAAAAAAAAAAAACTGTATTAATCAAGAGCACATTACTATATTTTCAGCATCTTTTACATGTCATTTAAAGCAAAGACCCAGACTGTCATACCTCATCATCACTGTCGGATGTCTCAGAGTCTGTCGACGCTGCAGGTTTGCTGACTGGCTCCTCTTGTTCACCTGAATCCACCCTCTTCCTCTTTGCCAATGACAGCAGCTCCTGAACAGAAAAACACAGTTGTGTGGTTCAGAAAATGTTTTGTTGAGTAACTGTAAGAGCTGTAATATGGTGTAACAGAATAAAGATGTGTATGATTATGAAAGAATGCGTCGCTGGTCATACTAAAGCGCTCACTTTTCCAACACACTTTGCAATATGCACATAGAAGAGCAAACATCCCACACACTTTGACAACGGGCTGAAGGATGGACCAGTGGCAAGCTTCTTCTTCCTGATAAGCAGTACAGGCTGGAGCAAATGCATATTAACCTCCACCAAGGCTGGGTTTTTATTGCCGTTTGTCTGTCAGCAGGATTACGCAAAACATCATTAAAACATTTGGCTGCCTGAGCCTCTATTTAAACAGGCCTTGACAACTGTTGTACATTTTTATTGTCCATTCGAAGCCTTGGTTTCTGCAGCGCGGAAACTAATAATCCAAACAAGAGAATATCAACTCAAACAATTGCCAGCTGGATTAAATTAAATTAAAAACCTATAACCCAGATATCTATCTACATATATACACATATGTATATGTTTATTCCAATATCTCATTAGGCAGATGGGGATCACTGGTATTGAAAGGACACTGTATTGGCAGAGGTGCAGCGATTGAATCAACCCTGGGAGAATTTTTTTTTATTATTAATTGGTACCATAGACTCTTCACTCCAAGATAATTATCCAGTAGGTTATTGCAAGAGCTGACGTGCAGTTCTCGCCTAATCGAGTTGAACTCAACCAGCTTGAAGACAATAATTGTTACTGAGTCTGAGATGGAAGAAAGACATGATTAGAGAGGCCAGGGCTGTTCTGTTATTCTCTGTGGGTGTGAATTGCCTTGGGGGCTAAACTACCTGGCAGTGAACCATCAGCTTAAATTAGTCCAGGTATCAGAACGTCTTTAACAATGAGTTCCGCACGGTGAGATTTAGGTGATCACGTGTGTTAGACTGGTACGTTGCATAAACAAAGGTGCAGCACTGGAGTCCAGAGTTGAATCTCCCAAAAAACAATCATGGATACATTACTACAAGGATTTGATTTGCAGTTGTGGGCTTGAAAACAACCAAACCGTTGAGCATCTGTAAGTCATCAGTTATTGAGCCTGAGACTGAAGAAAGACTAGAGAGGTTGCTTTGTTATTCTCTACATGTGTGATTTGCCTCTGGGGGTAAACTACCTGAGTGAACTGACAGGTGAAGGACAGGGGGACTTTGTGTTTATATATATATGTGTGTGTGTGTGTTTGTATTGTAGCTGCAGCCCTGAGCAGCTCTTCAGTCCGACATGTTGCACTGAAGCTCCTCAGTCAACTTGTTTGACAACAACACAGATACAGCAGCCCAGCTCGCTGACGTCATTCGGGAGTTACGGCTCTTCAGGCTAAAAATCAAGTTCAGCTTCACTGCGGCTTCAGTTCGAGCAAAACACACTTGATCCCAGTTTAGTTAACGAGCTAAATAAAACACACACACACACACACACACACACACACAGACTACACAGCCGCACGCTCCAAACCAGGGATCAAACCCGCGGCGCGGTTATTTCGGGTCAACGACAAAAATACAAATTAACCGCTAACGTTAAGTGTGTTTCTCTGAATGTAACCTAACCGTTAGCATCACTTAGCTTCCCAGCGCTAACACACTGCTACCTGTGCCAACTCAAAAAAAAAAAAAAAAAAAAACACCCGGAGCTGGCAAGAGAGAAAAACACCGAGAACACAGATGTTTGGTGTAATGGCGCGTTTCTGTGCTAAACAAACAAAAAAAAAAAAGGTGAATACATCAGGTCGCTCTCCCAGCGAGGCCAAACACAGCGCAGCTAAGCTAGCACACGTTAGCTTCACCTCAAAACTGTTGGGCAACTTAAAGACGCCGCCGGACGTCGACACCGGGAGGAGAGCTCGCGCCTACCTGGTCTAAGTTATCGTCGCTGGCGCTGTCTTCGGAGTCGGAGTCGATCACGACCCGACCTTTCCGCTTCTTCACGTTCACCATGATTAGCAACGCGGCTAACCTGCTAGCTACCGCTGTGTCGTCTCGGCGATGGAAGCTAGCTTAGTTTACCACCGAGCTAGTTACTCTGCAGTCAGCCACACAAAGGCGCTACTGAGCATGCGCGCTCCGTGTTGACACCGTGGGGTTTTTATCTCCCGCTCGGTGGAATAAAAATACAACCTCCGTCTCTGTCCCGCTCCTTGTTGTTTTATAGATCAGTTGAAACTGATCAAAGTCGGGTGATAACTGATAATCAACCGAGGGGAGGAACCACATGTGTACGAGGAGTGTATCCGTCAGGAAGGACGTTTGTGGTGCACGTGAGCTGCGTTCAAGATCCACGACGATTCGACCTTTAACTGTTTTCTTCTTCCTCGCTCCGCCGCGTTTACCTTCGCGTGTGGACGTGTCTTGAACGCAACCCCCGGGTGTGTTAGCGTGTTTATTTATTCACAACAGCGATATAAAGAGACGTGTTTAAAGATGGAGTGAAGCTTAAAGACGAGCAGCTCCGGACAACATGGCCTCAGTGAGTGGAAACTGTTTCATCAACTGTATAACAATGTGTTTTCAAGTGATGGTTTCTCTTTAACTAGACTGAAGCTAGCACATGTTTGACATTGTTGTTGTTCTAATGCATCAACAGAAGAGGTCAACACTAATAGAAGACAAAAAAAAAGACCAATATCAGCTGATTGTTAAAGTCTTGTAAAGAATGAACACATTGATCGCAGCATATAAAAGTAATTCATGTAATTCCCCCCTTATTTTAATTTATTTTTAAATCAGAGAGACTTCATGATTCTTCATCATCATTGTGTAATGACACCACGTCCCTATGATCTGTATCCCAGCAGTGAGTCGTCCAGATCAACAGAGAAATGTCCCTGAGTAAGATCACACGTTTCCCCTCAGCGAGGCTGCTGAGCTCCATCCACCGCCAGCAGCTGCTTCTCCCCTCCGTCAGCCCGCTCACTGTGCCCTCAAGAGCCCTGATCCAGGGGGAGTACAGACGACCCGGAAAGCCCAAAGAAAACAAGTTTCCATGGCAGAACATTAACTTTAACTTCACAAAAGGTTTGGAGGGAATAAAGAAGCATTTCATGCTGCTGAAGACGGAGTTCTCTGAACGCTGGGTCGGTCCAGAGGGCAAACCGCTTCTTGAGCATATGCTAGAGCAGAACAGAGTGACGTGGGAGTTCAGAGGTCCAGAGAGCCTGGAGGAGTGGACCGTGTCCTCGGATCATGAGATAGGAGGCCAGAGTGAAGTTTACCTGAAGCTTGGTAAAAACAACACCTGTTTTCTGTACGGGACCCTGAGCTCAACTCCTCCGAGGGATGGAGAAACACGCTACAGTGGCTACTGCACCATGCGTTCAAAACAACCACTGGTTAGTGCCACGCCATTTTAAAATAACACACTTTTAATCGAGTTCATGTCCTCAGATTTCTTCTGGAAATGTCAGTGGTTTAGAAACTTGACTGAGGAAGTTATAGGCAGATTTTTATCAAACTTTGAGCTACAGTAGTAACTGAGCGATGCTCAGGGTGACGAAGGTCAGCAGTTGAGGTGAAGATTGCATAAAAAAAAAAAAATACACACCAAACTTTCTTGTCTTCCCCAGTCTTCATTTGACAGGAAGAAGCACTACGATTGGACCAGTTTCAACACCCTGCACCTGCGGGTACGTGGTGACGGTCGTCCGTGGATGATCAACATCGCGACAGAAACCTACTTCTCTCACCAGAAAGACGACATATACAATTACTTTCTGTACACCAGAGGAGGACCCTACTGGCAGGAAGTCAAGGTTTGTAATTAATGAGTAAAATATAGTTTAATGCTTTATAAGACTTTACTATACTTTAGGTTCTACTAGGAACTGTTACCACATTTGCAGCACTTTTACTTTTAGGAACAAGTAGTGATTCCAATACTAATAAAGTTTGACTTATTTACAGATTCCTTTTTCCAAGTTCTTCCTGACACATCGTGGAAGGATACAAGATGATCAGCACCCTCTCTGGCTGGACAAGGTAGAGCAAAGGACAAGTTCCCATAAGATAAAATCAAATACATATAAATAAACGTATCCATCGCAAAGTGCCAGTAGTTTAGCACATTTGTTCATTTTTTGTTAAGTTTTCCTATTATGACTTCATCTGTCTGCATTCACAGGTTAACAGTGTTGGATTTACTTTGGGAGATAAAGCAGACGGTCCGTTCCAGCTGGAGATTGACTTCATTGGTGTCTGCAAAGATTACGCACACACCGAGGAGTTTGCCTATGAGGTGTACAAGAGGAATCCTGAAGTTTGACTGAAACTATAACAACACTGGAGATGAACTCTCATTGGATCAGAGCAGAACTCTTCTATCAACAAATAAATGTACCAACTTCTTATGTTGGACAACTGAGCTCCTCCTGCACTCTGGATCATTCATTATGCATCACCCCTCTTGAAATTTCCTGGAAATCAATTCAGTAGTTTTTGAGTAATCCTGCTGAAGAGATTGGTCTTTTCACATTTACTGAGAAGCTCGCTGCTCTTTTCACTATAACGTTTCCAGGTTAAATCTTTGTGCAATAGATTCTGGTGGTAAATTAAATAATAAAAAAAAATACACTTTGGAAAACAGCAAATTTAATCGGCAAATGCAAACAAGAAAATCTTTTGCACCAGTCTTCAACCAGCCTGTCCCCCAAAATCAATTTTAAGAACAAATTAAAAATTTAAATGCAGCAAAGCAACGATCCTCTACACATCTAAATGCATCATTAAACAGAGTTAAAGTGTGACTAATACATGTGTCAAATCTAGAAACAGTACAGAAGGTTGACAGAAGGATAAAAGAGCTTCTCTACTTTCCACACAGAAGGTTCAAAAAGAGCAGAGGGTTGTCAGCTGCAGACAACTAAATATTTACAGAGGAACAACAGGCTGTACAAATATCTTCAAACAAGCGCAGTATTTTTACATCATGACGAGGCCTCGTCTCGCCCCGAGCACACTCTCTTTCTTCTGCTTCCGGTCTGCAGTGTGTTTTTCTCTCCTGTTCTCCCTGAGATAAAAACACAAACATTTAAGTGACAGATGTTGTAGAAGTTGCACTGTTTTAAGAAACAAATCACTATCAGACAATGGTAATTTTTCTTTTTAGACAAACCTTGTTTGGACCTGGTGCTGTTTATAATTTTTCTGATGCGAGTTTGAGATCAGAGACTTGTTTGCTGCTGTTGTTGTGTTTTCTTTGACATCTCCAAAAGCCTTTAGTTTACCTGTAAATTAAAAATATCAGAGGTTAGTCCACTAAGGATACAGTACACCTCAGCTAAACACAGAAACTGAAAACCATTAGTACCTTTGTGAGGCTTGTAGGTGAGAGGACGAGACAGACTCGCCTTCAGGTCAAAACTCTGCTTGGTCTGTGTTGCAGGGGTTCCTATGGTGCTTGTGTTAGCAGTGAAAATGAACGTCCCTGCAGAATTCAGTAAATATTTTAATTACTTTATTATATCTTCACAACCTTTACATCTCTAATTCAGATATTGCAATGATTTAAAGTACCTGGAGTCTTTGCAGCAGATAGAGTTGCAGTCTTGACGTTGACAGACTTGACTTCACCAGTCGTCTGTTTTTGTGGGGTGCTCGAGGTCACGCAGGGAGACATGCGAGCCGGCGTCTTCACCAAAGATCTTTTAAACTCATTGTCTCTGGTGGCTTCTGAGAACCTGCACATAATCACATTTGGTTGTTGTCGTGTTCCATGAAGTTCCACCGGAGCGACAAATCTTAAACAACAACTCGGGTTGTTTGACAAAAATGATTGTTTATATCATAAAAGCTGCAACTCAACAGTCATTCTGTGACAATATTCAGCTACTGAAAAGCAAAAACCCTGAAAAAGAAATGTAACTCACCGAACATTGATCCTGCGAGTGGAAAGGACCGAGGGTCTGAACGGAGCATCTTCCTTCCCAGCAGCTTCTTTCGGAGGAGCTTTACTCGCCGAGAGCAAAGTGTGTCTGCGTTTGTCGTCAGCTGTTCTCTTATTGACGGGAAGAGGACTTAACATGGACGTTCGACTCTGATTTGCCTTCTGCAGAACAGATACATACTTATCAGCCTCGCTGCACTCAAAGTATTCTGGGTGTTTAATAGGGGATGATACTCACTGCTCGGGTTTTGCCATCAGCTTGCTGCAGTTTAGTTTTGTCTGAAAGCTTCTGAAAAGGAAAATAGATGGAATAGTAAAAAATAAAAACTATATAAATTACCACAATTGCGTTCGAGGAAAAAAAGTCAGTCAAAGCTTTGTGATACCTTGAGTTCTTTAACTGAAGCTCTGTAGGTGTCCATCTGCTTGGTCTTCCGCTGGACATAAGAGTCAATGGACTCCATCTTGTTAAAATGTGCCTCATGGAGTTTCTTGAAGTCTAAAAAAAAACAATTAGCAAGAGATATCTGAGTGAATCCTCACCTCCTAACTGCTTCTCTTAGAGGTGACTGGACGAGGGGAATCAAACCAAACTTACTGGGAGTGACAGGCTTCAGCTGCTTGTTCTTCAGCTGCAGGCTTTGGTAACGAGGGATTTTACCAGGTTTGGCTGCTTTTGTGTCCTTTTCTGGAAATATATAATTAAAATGCATTATTTCAGGATAAAGGCAAGAACATTTAAAATGATACATAACTATTATCATCATGAAAATTAACTATTCAGAAATACCAAACTAAACATGACTCACCTGTAACATGCACAGGTGCTTCGTCCTTCGTGTCGGCCAGCTGCTGCTCGCTGTCTGTGACCTGGGACTCCTCCTGAGGCTCAGTTTTGACAGAGTCTTTGACAGAAGACACTTTCCTCTTCTTGGAACCTCTCACACCACAGGGTGCAGCAGATGCAGCCACTTCCACATCACCCTTGAGAACAGATGTTTAAATATTGAATCCTCCCAAATAACAAGAATTGATGCTGCAAATAACTTCCAACGAGAAGATGCTCACAAAAAGTTTGTGTTGTGTATGTCACGAGGTGTACTAGTACCTCTGCAGCAGTCGGAGGAGACACATCACGCTCAGTCTCAGTATCAGAGATCTTTCTCTTGGTACCGTTTCCTCTGCCTCGACGTGTGTTCACAAACACAGCGGTGCTGGAAACTTCTTCCTGAGAAGTTGCATCTTTACTTTCCTGAGCAGCGCCTTGTCCTGCATTTACATCCTCTTCTACAGCAGCTGCATCCCGATCCTGTCCCTGGAAAACAGTCGAGATTTGTCTTTTGTGACTACACTCGCCACCATTATGGACTGAACTTAAACACTTAACACTGCACTTATTATTCCTGTCTTTACACTGTACATATTAGTTTCATTACAATCGTACTTTTCTCTCTCTATATATGTATGCAATACTTTTATATATATATATATATATGTTATCTATTACTTGCTGATGTCTTTTTGACTCTTGCTGCTGTACTGCTGCACATTTCCCCTCTGAAGAACTAATACAGAATGATCTCATCTTTTGACAAAGCCTTGTTAGAAGTGTGAGGTTCAAACACTTTCTTACCTTCTCTTCTTCCTCCTCCTTGCTCTTTTCTTTTTGATAATGCTGCTTGATCAGCTTCAGCAGTTTATCCGCCTGTTTCACAACAACAACGTTACTGTAGCACACACAGTCACATTACATTCAAACGGCAAACGTTAGCTTTAGCCCGCAGCTAGCCTCAACTCGCCCCAACACGCTAAGCCTTATATCCCGAGCACTGCTAACGGTGCTAGCTCCCTCACCTTCATGTTTCCCTTCAGCCCGAGCTCCTTGGCGACATTTCGCAGCTCCGCGTATTTCATCGAGTCCAAATCCATGTCGACGTGTAACTTTCACTCGGTTTCACGTGAAGAAATCCACAAACACGCGCTTTTGTTGTTGTTCCTCTTCTCGAGTCGCGGAGCCGCCCGACGCTTGAAACTTCGATTCAAAACACAGCCGTTTCATTGGCTCCTGCCTGGGACCGGAAGTGCGTAAGAGCCAATCAGAGCGGAGATGGACATTTTCATGGTGCGTTCACGTGGTGTCGGAATAACCGGGCACAGGCTGTAACCACCAGAGGGGATTTTTGTAGAATTACACAATTTAGAAAAATTACTTTTTCACAATCACGTCTTTTCTGTGCAGCGAATCAAAGGTTCAGTGTGTACGAGTTAGGCGAAATGGATCCATTGGCAGAAATTGAATGTACAATAATCCTAGTGATGTTTACCTTAGAATGGGCCTTTTAGATTTAAATACTTTACATTTAAACACTTTTTATTTAAATCAGAAGTGGCTCCTCTCTGTAGAGGCCGCCATGTTTTGTTTTTTTACACTATCCCAGACTGGACAAACTAAACGTCTTTTGAGTTTTTATGACAACTGAAGTTTACCACAGATTCTCTTCCAGGGTGAGGGGAGCTGCAACACGATACTTCACCACTAGATGTCACTCAATTCCACACGCTGAACCTTTAAGGAACATCACAACCTTCAACTCATTTTTCAATTCTGTAAAACAATGGTTACAGAATACTCAGATATGTCATCGTCCGGAATAGTCATGTTATTGTTAATCTATTACATAATACATACATTGTATATTTAGCTAATCTATGCCTTCATTTATTTAATCTATATATTTATTTATCTAATCTATATATTTATTTATCTAATCTATATATTTATTTATCTAATCTATCATTTTATCCATGCATTATGTTTCCTCCTCGATGAGGATGTGGTGTGACGCACACTCCGGTGCAGCAGGGGGCGGTAATGCACCGGAAGCTGGATGCCCAGTCGTGCTTACGCTTGAAGAAAAGAAGAAGAGGTGCATGTTTTAAAAGTGGAACTTTTTCTCTCAGACTTGTTTTTGTTTATTCTTCGCTTCTGTGGTTTTTTTCCACGTGTTCACATCGACACCTCGCAGCGGTGACTGTGGTGAGAACGAACAACTGGAGGACGGGACCTGCTGCTGTTTCCAATCCCCGGAGTTCAAACTCCTCTCGGCGGGACCGGCACCGAGCAGGACTCCGTCGAACTCCTCCGACATGGAGTTCGATGACAGCGTGTTGACGCGGCGTGTGGACGGTGGTAAAGCGGGAACAGAAGAGGCACGAGGCGGGCCACACATGACCCTCCACTGCACACAGTGTAACTCCGTCATGGCGGACTCCCTCAGCATCTGTGGGGAGATCACATGTATGAAGCTGATCATGTGTCTGAGTGAGTTCACACACACACACACACACACACACACACACACACACACACACACACTGGTGTGTGTCTCTGTTGTGATGGTTGAGTTGTGGCAGATAAACAATATAAGATACACAATATTTCGTCAAACACATTCAAAACAGATTTTGTATTAATTTTAGGAAATGGATAAAAGTGCTGTTACACAGAACAATGTTATTAGTTTAGTTTTTCCCCCACTTATCTTTTCTCTTCTGTCCATGGAGGGGTGGGTGAACACTTTTGGAGTTTCAGGGGTTAAACAGTGTTGGGTCTTTCTTCATACATCTTGATTTGCCTGAATTACGGAAAACATGCTGCTTAAATGACAAAATACTAAAACAGAGACGGTGTCACTGGTAGTTTCTCACTAACATACCACTTTAGAATGTTATATTCTATATTGTTGTTATTCTTTCTGCGATGATTTGTCCCTGATAATCCCACACGTTGACACTGCTTCTTGTCTGTCTTCAGGAGTAACCACTGATGTTGTCATCAGTTCTGCAAAGGAGTCAGGACATAAAGGAGAAATGGCAAATTGGTGAGTGGATGCAGACTTCACAAAATGTCTTTATGACACATAAACACGTAAATCCTCCATCTTTTACTCACCCACACTATTGACTGTTAGTAAGGAACATATTTTTATTCCACTCAAGGTTTCCGACTGTGTCTTATTTCTGGTCTTGTGTAATTTCAGCATCTTCAGTTCTCTAAAGTGTCGTGGCTGCCGCTCTTCTGTGGGCAAAGTTATTCACTCGGCTCCGTCGCGTTGGGCCTCGTTTCGCTCCCTCTTTCTCCTCCACAAATCAAACATCACTTGGTAAGCCCTGCAGCGTCTGCTGAGCACACGAGCATATTGACGTTCTGTGTACAGGTTTACCGAAGCCCGGAGAAGCTAAACTAAACAAAGTGCCTTGTGAGTGTTGTCCGTTGCATGAATTGATTTGAGATGAAACACACATTTTGTTTTTGAAGGGATTGATTTCCAATCTTTGTATACCAATAAAATAATTGCACACAACATTAATTATTAAAATCTCTCTTTTCTAATTTCTCGATGCAGTTATGTCCTCGACAGCAGGTCGATGGTGAAAGCTTCCACAATCACATTAGATCTGAAGCCTCTCAGAGAAAACATTGATGAGGTGAGAACAACATGTAACTGATTATAATCTAATTCTTATCTTTACATGTTAATCTCATGTTTTGTTTTTTTATTTCCACGGCAGGTGAGAAAGCAGTTTGAGGCGCAGCTGGATCAGATGTTGTGTGTAAAGAGCAGACTGGCTGACCGGAGTGTTACCAGCGACTTGGGGAAGTAGTCTCGACTGCACCTCGTCTGGGGAAAAGGCTCCACGTGCTCTTCAGTCTGCTGCCTCTTGTAGGCTGGTGTGCGTTGTATATATTTATTGTTTTCTTTGTTGTGGTGTTTTCATGTTTTCATTAAATGGCTTTTGATAATTCAGGTATTATTGTCTCTGTCTATGTTTCTGCAGCTGGTCCACTCACTTGTTTCTAAAAGATTCTGGTTCATATAAAGTGATGAACCCGCTGATAACGTGCACAAGCAATTTATAAAATAAAAGAGAGATTTCTTACTTCAGATATTGTCAACAATGATGGTTAATGATTATATTAAGAAAATAGAATTCCATCTGTCCCATACCGAGAATAAAATCTATTAACTCCCAACTTGCTAACTCTCTTTACACAAAATGTCAAACCATTCATTTGAAATTGAGCCACATTCAAAGCTGACAAAAAATATTTTCCCCCTCATGGAATCGATCTAAGAATAATTTGTTCCCTTTTTTCAGTAATAATGAGTTTTGTGGCTCTAAATTTGCATTAAAGTTAGTGAAGCTATGGACTTTTTCTCTTACTGCAAAATCAATTATTTCCACAACGTTAATCCTTCATACACTCAAACTGTTAGTAAACATCAACACCCAGTCGTCCGATTGGCACCATGCTGCATTTTATTGCTTAATTTCTGATACAGATTCTTTTTTTTTTTTTTTTTTTTTTTGTTGATACAAAACCAGACAAGAGGCTTACACATAATAAGCATGCCCACTTCCTCCGTCTGAAGTGCATAGTTTCTACACAGTCCACCCCCTCGGTGGAAAAGTTGATCAACAAAGTAACGTCATTAATCTTACCCAGGATTATATGTTTCTTTTTTTCATGGGAACAAAGGTTGATCAGGGTTGTTCAGCTGCACGGTGGCATTGCTGCCGTGGTCATGTTTGACACAGCAGAGAGTGAGAGCAGAAACACTCCGTTATTTCTTTTTGGTGCTGCACATTCTGTGGAAACCACGACCGACGATCAAAACTACTTCAACGTTCGTCATGTAGAATCAAACAACCGTCCCCCAAAGTTGTCCCCTTGTCACAGAACACCTGACATGAACATTTCAATATCCTAATTACACTCATTCACATTACAAAGTTGGATTATTGCATGCAATACAAATCATTCTTTATTCTGCTTAGTCATGCATATTTTTTAAACCCATATATTCAAGTTGCTAGACGCCTACTTGCTTATAAATTGCGATTATAAATCCCCACAAAGAGCAGTACAGGGTTTTTAGTTTACAGTTTTCAAGACAGGACGGGGATGATGATGGTGCAAGTCAGTACATAGAGAGAAAGTGCCTTTCAAACAAGTGTCAAGTTGGTTCAGTGAGTACTTCACAGCTACAGAGTCACTGAAAATCTAGATTTCTATAGGAATAGGGTTTAGTGGATGTAAAATGCTACAAGAATTAAAATTTAAAGCATCTCTCATCATGTACCGATTGGTTTAAATTATTGTTTTTTGTGTTGAAAAAATACAAGTCAGGGAAAATAGTCTCTGAAAAATATAAGAGTTAAGGTAAACTTGTCGATGTAAATACTGTTATGCTACAGCAGTCCTCACATAGACCTAGTTCTGCAGGAAGTATCCCAAACCTTACGAAGCGATACTGTATTCTAAAGCTAAACGACTCGCCAAAAGAGTGACCGATAGATATATGCTACAACAAGCGTTGAGAGGTGGTGATGGTCCTTTCCACGGGACGTTACAGAATCCTTTGAACACTTACACCCTGGCACTGAACTCATGCATTATTGTAGGTTATTGCTTCTAAAACTCTAATCAAATACAATTCTATGGATTGAATTATAACACTTTGAATCCCAAAACCATGAGGTATTATATACAATGAATGTCATGGTGAGATCTTAATTCTACCACTAGAACACCACCTCGGATCCCTGCCAATTAGATCCTAATCCAGGATGAGCGTAATACTCGGTCATTGTCACGTCCGAGACTTTTTGGTTGTCATTCAAAAATGACCTTATTCTTTTGAAGCTTTTGGTGCATGACAATATGTGAGGATATCTCTAAGGCTTTTTAAAAAGATAAAAATCCTAAGAGCGCACAGCAGGTCTGTAAAACAACACTAACTTATATTGGGCATATATGTCTATGTGAGATAAATTGAATCAATACTTTATAACTGCATATCTTGAAGGAACAAAGAGGTGGTTTTGCATTTGTTTTCAGGCAAAGCTGTATCTCGACGTGGTGTCTTTAAAGATTTAGAACGTCAGTCTTTGACTGAACTGAAATGGTTTCTCTAGTTTTGAGCTCCAGGTTAGTCTGGTAAACTGATTTCACTATTCGTCATAAAGCAAGCATCACTACTGGTCATGCATGGCTACAATACTGCTGGCACCACAGTCCCGCTAAATAGGCTAATTAATGCACATGAGTCTATACATATCTTAATGGAAGACATTGGTGATTTTGTTGCTTTCAAACAACTTGTCACTTGTTTATACAATATACAGTTTGGTCAACAACATGACAGTTAAGATCAAATATTGCACAAATCCCGAAAAATTTGATTTTTAAAAGTAAATCTTATTAAAAAAAAATGTGGAAAGAATAAAATGGGGCCAGGGTTTCCTTCATGTAAGAACCAATGCGAGGTGCTATTTCAGCACTGGTGTCTCTCGACTTACTGGACACGTCAAAAAGCTGCGTGGAGACATAATGATGCTTTTAGCTGATGTTTAGTCTCGTGATTCATGGAATGAAAGGAATCAAATCATCAATTCTGTCTCTAGTGGCAGAATGTAAACATGATGTGGACATACATCTCTTACAGGGAAGAATGAGAGCGAACGTTAACGGGGAACAAAATGAGAACATGAGTATGAAAATGAGAAAATGAGAACATAAGCAGACAAATGTTTTTTTTAAGGGGGAAAGGAGAAATAAAGAAATCTGGATTAGACTTGTGGGATCAAAGACACATTTTATAAGTTTCCATATTTTGGGGATCTCAAGTCACAAGGGCAGTGTCACTAATTTAGTCTCTACCTGCAATTTCCTTCAGAACAGATGCATAGGAGACCACGGTTCGAGTGAGTTACTCAAAATGGCTGAAATGAAAAGTAAATGTGCATCATGAGCTTGTGTAGTTTTTCTCCTGTTCACCAGTCGACGGCCTCACGTGTTGATCCACCACCACTAAAACCAAACTTATCCAGGAACAATATTTAAGACTGCCGTGGTACTTGACAACCAATAAGCCTCACGTACGGCTCACACTCGTCTTTCACTCCTGTTGGACTCGTTACGGCACTGAGGTAGTGCAAACAATAAAAGAACTCCCTGTGAGTCTAAATTAATCACAGGCCTTGATCTTTGCTACAGTATCTTGTGTCTTCACTTTCTTTGCAGAATAGAGGAGCAGCTGATTTGTTCATTATCAACCTGCTCTTGTCCTATTACACTGGGAAAACTTGGTGACTACGTTTACATGTGAACCTGGAAATGATCTCGAGTGAAAATCCCCAAATCACAGAGACTTTCAGACAAATACAGCCAGAGTAGAAACTCCAGGTCACATGTAGACGCAGTCAGTGGGATGCAGGTCAATCTTGGACCGTGTCCTCAGTGATGATCATACAGCAGAAGCGGGCCAGGACGAAAGGGGAGGCTGTGGAGGAGAGAGGACTATAATGTCCCAGCTACAGTGTGAAGGAGAGCACCAGTGTCCCAAAATCCCAAAAGAGATCATCGTGTCAGTGACGCTTCATTCTCTACCTCCACTGATCTCTGTGGCGGTGGTGGTGGGAGTCATCTGTCCGTGGTGCCAGGGCTCACCTGAAGGTGGATGTTCCTGCAGTCCTGGCTTCAGCTGGTTTCTCATCTGCATCATCTGGAAAACCCATCGTAGAATAAATGCATGTGTTACTTCCATATTATTCAACCGAAGTGAAGTTATTCAGAGTCTGCCACTCGTCAGTGGTGATGGAACTTTCACCGAAGCATTGAACTGCAGCAGGTTCATCACTCTTCTGGGTCCACTGGAAACATTTCCTCTGTTGTTTTTACTATTTGCAGCTTTTCTGTTCCGTGTTTTCTGTTTTTGAACGCATCTTGTTATCTCTCAGCATACACATACATATAATCTCTGGGTTTTACTCACACAACATGTCAGACAGACAGAGTCCTGGGTCTCAAACAGAACTGAAATAGAATAATCGATCAACAATCAGTATGTTCATGCAGCAGTGAGCTGAGGAGGAGGAGGAGGAGGAGGAGGTGTGTGAAGCACTGACCTTGGACTGAGTTCTTGTCTGAGACGCTGCAGATGTTTGAGGTTCGAGCTGCAGCTGCACACAATGGTAAACAGAAGGGGGGGGGGGAGCTCACCGACACATTCAGCGCTGATTCCCGGGAAACCTCCGGGACGAGGAGCTGCACCGGCCGGGGACACGTTAGGAAAACACCCCGCAGACCTCCGGACGCTCTCCTCTCCGCTCCATCCCGCCGGAGAGGAGAGGAGAAGCTCCCCTCGTCCCCCGCTCCTCGTCCCCTCCGCCCTACGCCATCTTGGCTCCGCTACTACGAGCCCGAGCGGGATTTGTGCTGGAGAGCTGTCAATCAAAGCTACAGCCCGCCCCGGAAGTACAGTTATCAATCAAAATAAAACTTCGACGCAACCGGATCTCAGGTGATGATCAGAAAATAAGAGAATTAAGATAAAGTTGTATAATCTAAGGTATATAAAATAAAACATGCAGGAGCTAATGCTAACGTGTTCTGAAGTATAGAAAGTGAGATCTACACACATGTTAACTAACAAGGCCTGTTAGCGATATGCTAGGTGAATTCACGGTGGAGCAAGTTTGTAGTTTGTTAACTGAAAATTCAACGTTCAATTCTTTTAACATCTTAAAGGTTCAGTGTGTAGAAGTTAGTGACATCTAGTGGTGAAGTGTCATGTTGCAGCTGCACCTCACAAAAAAGTGTTGAGACTGTAAAAAAACATGGCGGCCTTATACTCACGGATAAATATAAATCTAAAAAATTAAAAATCCCTATCTTGCAATGTTAAAGAAAGTAATTTTAAAAAATCGACATTGTAATGGACTTATTCTTGTTAAGTTCTTCCACTGTGGAAATTTGTGGATCTTATACATGAGTCTTTCAGGTAAAATCACTTTGAGTTATTAATAAATTGGCAGATTAACAACCAGCTTCCCATGGATTAGATCTTGTGATCCTAAAACCAGTCTCATCCTTTAAAGCCCTCAAATCGTGCAGTCACAGACTTGTTCTCCACTGAAGCTACAAAAGGTGCAAGGTGTTGAAAAACATGTTTTCTGTTTTATTCAGTGCTTCTATTGAGCTGACTTGTTCTGTACGTGTTCACGAAATAAGTCATAATCCTCTGAAACGTTGTGTAAAGGTAGAACTACTTATTAATTGTATTAATCACAGACAGCTGTATAATTAGTGGGTTTTGCAAGTCACAGATTTGAGTCTCACCGTCTGACCTGGACTTCACATGTCAAGAGTCCATAAATCAAAACAAATACCCAGAATATAAAGTAACACAATAAATGATGCAAAGAAAGCATGGCACTTGTTTTATTCAAATCAAATTCATGTTTCATTTTGAATACGTAGACCAACATCACACAATGATTAATAACATGGTTGGGCTGTATTTCCTGGGCTCCTCTGCTGGAGGGTGTTCAGGTAATGATTCAACAAACCCCCATTAATCAAACATTTTCAACTGAATCTCACATACATTAGCCCCGTTCATATACTAATGCATCAGATTCTCTCGGTGCATAAATCAACACACATTATTTTCTGGCCGCAGTGAGACACATGATATTAACGGAAGCGTAGCTTGTTATATGGAGCACAGCACTTGACACCGTTAGACATGGAATTAAATCTTTGCGAGATAAACTTTTTGAAAGCAGGCCACACTGGCAGTTATAACTTTCAACTATTTTTACCTCCGACAAGGACGTCAGGTTGTCACCATTTGTTAGTTTACACACAAACATGTTAAAGATTTCCACGAAACTTGGTGGGAGGATGTGATGTGTGTCACTTTCTTTAACATGGTGAGATTTCACTCAATGGAAACATTACAAGTTATTGAAAGTAACAAATTTAACCCAGGAGGAAAAATAAAACACACAAACATGGACGTGGTTCCTGTTTACTGTTGACAAAATAACTTACAAAGGACAAACAAAGCCATGGCACTTCAGTGAGTAAAACAGAACGAATCTGTGGAGCAGCTTCTGCTTTGATTTGAGGGACAAACTGAGAGCCGGCTGCTCTGACTTGTTCTGCCACAGGTCAGAGAAAAGGAGTCATAAGATCATGTTAGCATCAAAAACACTGGCTGTTCTGAAGTGGAATCCAACGTGTGTCACTTTGAACCATTGTATATTTGTAAAGACAAAGACATAGCATCTACTGAATATCCAGAGAACAGCATGAATATATATATATATATATATATATATATATATAAAATTCTAAAAAGGTCTCTAATAAATAATCCATTATTTGAAAAAAGAAAAAAAGAAGAAGACTGACTTTAGGGCTGTYACAAAATCAGATTCTTACTGTGAGGAATTGTGACCAAATAATTCATGATTCTAAGATGACAATATCTATAGAAAATAGATTTTTAGAATTTTATTTCTTGGCAAATAAATTTAACTCAAAATACAAAATATTAATACATACTTAGTTGGAGTGTGAACCAGATAGTCACTGCGAAAATAAACAGAAATAATTTGATTTGTTCATTTACACAGTATTAGTATTATCATATAAGTAGTTATTATTACTATGTTATCATTATTTCCTCTTTTAATAACGTGTCAACCCCTAAGTGACATCGTATAAAACAACCCAAGGCACGTTTCCCTTTGTTGACAGAGCAGTGCAGAGGCAGAAACTCAACATCTATGACAAGCTTGACCTAACGCTTGGTCTGACGGTGAGTACTTAGTGTATATGCTGCAGCAGCCTGCTGACACGCTGGAGGAGCTTGTGTCCTGACATCAACTGGCCTGTTGAAGCTCCACGAAAAAAATGAAACTTAGTGCAGGAAGCGGATGCTCATTTTCTGTTCCACATCTACCTTCTCCAACACCTGAGGAAACAATGAAACAGACATTAAATATTGAGAACAGACGGGTTGCACGCTCCATTCAGCCTGTGTATCACTCATAGTAAATAATCAAAGATATGAGATCCGCATAGATAAAGTCATTCTGTACCAAATGTCGTCAGTAGCAGTATTAAGTACACAGAGAGTCGTATGTGTCAGGTGACTGATACCCTCTGACCACAGAACTCACCTTGATGAATTCATTGAAGGAGATGGAGTTATCTCCGTTGGTGTCGGCCTCCTGTATGGTCCTATCAGCGATGCTGCCGAGCTGTTCATCTGAAATGTTTACACCAACCATCATCCTTAAGACCTGTGAGCGAACAAAAAGTCCTGTTACAGTTCACGAGCATCAGAAAACTGTTTGTGGTGAAGATTAAATACGAGTCGCGATGTCTGCCCAAACAATTTGGTGATTTGTTTTGAAAACAAGTATTTAAGCTCCGCACAAGATAATTTGTGGGTATTTCACTTCAACAGCAGGAAACCACACTTTACTGCAGGAAATACATGATGATAAATAACCGTCAACACTTATTTTGTGAAAAACAGCAAAACAAACTCTGAAATGCATCTTTGGAGTTCCACAGCTTCGTGCATCACGTGACGCAGGTGACACAGAAATGTTTTGTGCAAAACAAGAGCTCTGGGATGAGTCATTTAACCCCCAGCTTACAGCAATTACAGGTCACACAATGTCACTGAAACCCACGCGGCCTCACAGAGGGACAACAAATAACATAGAGGAAGACAAAATACAGGATATGAGACCGTCTGGGAAATTCAACCTGTAGTTAGAGAGATATCACATCATTATCAGCACAAGGGCAAAGTCTCCTCATTGACATCCACATCCTTCTCTCTGAGAAGCACTTTGAAATGGCTATTACACAACAGTATTTGATCCTTTGTCGAGCACAGAATGAAGGGCAAATATTTTCTGAGGTAATAATGGATTTCTACAACACAAATCTGCATGTGAATGGTTCCGAAGCCACCGAGTTCAGCTTCGATTTTTTTTAAAGGTCGTAGAGGTAAAATCAATCAGTGCAACAAAACGTGCAGCGGTGGTTTTCTGTCTTTAACAGAAAATCTACTCTCGGGTTTGTTCACTAAAGTTTGTCAGCAACAATTATGCAAAAACTTCTGAGTAGTAATCAGGTGTATTCAGAGGACAGATATCTATGAGTGTGTGAAATTTGGTGCCTGGTTGATTGAGGTTAAGAGGACTGACCCTGGCGGAGCTGTGCATTCTACTGAGCTCCATTCTAGTTTAATGAATTCCACAGACCGCCCATCAGCAGCGGCAGCCATCTTGATTGTGAACAAAAAAGTGCTTCAGCAGCGAGCGCTCCTCTGCCAGAATATCAAACCCAGCCCAACCAGTTTCAGGATGCACGGAAATCAATCTGAATGGGGGAGGGGTCTTAAATATCCAACTATTCACCACTTGGCCGATTTACTTGTTGCGTGCGGCAACTGTTTCCTCGAACTGTGACAAAGCATCTTGTTTATATGACAAACCCGTCCGCTCACCTGCAGCAGCTCATCCCGGGAGATTTTGTCGTCTCTGTCCAGGTCATACAGACGGAAAGCAACTGGAAAAGAGAAGAAAAACATAAGTCATAGGAGACACAATAAACCCACATTATGAAACCCTCTGGATGCTCATGATACTGGTCACCAGCTCCGCCCGGACACGCCTCTGTGACCGAGCTCTGAACTCACAGAGCAGCTTGTTTGTCCTGCTGTTGAGTGGCTCGCTGACTGCGGCGTTCTTGTTCTTCTCGTTGTCCTCTATGGGTCTGAAGTGAGCTAAAGTTCGCATGAAGCCCCTGAAGTTTACCTGGTCCTCTCTGAAAAACAGACAAAACAAAGAATTTACTATTAACGTCAGAATCTGGATCAGATACACAACACACTGAATCTTTTGTGCTGGCTCATGTTACCTTTAAACAATGGCTGTGTGAGAAAGACAATGCCAACTCAAATAACCCAAAACCATTTCACCAAGGAAAGTTCTTTTCACCTCTATTGTTAAGTTCATCTGAGGCAAACGAGAAAAAAAAACTGAGCGAAAGAAATCTTTAAAAGCCTCGGCTGAAATTACACTTCTGACTTTTTGGGGATTTAAATGATACCTCTGCAAACATCTGGTTTTTAACTTCCTGACTAATCAAACCGTCAAATACAAAAAACAGGATCTTGCTGATTTATTTTACACAGAATTATGAGAAAGAACTGAGCTTCTCAAGTCTGCAGAGAAGCAGCCACAACTAAAGAGCAGCACGGTGTGGTTTGGCTCTGTGGTGCCTGTGACTCAATAACTTGCGCAAAAAAGATCCCTGAGAGAAAGCAAACCAGTAACTTTGGACAACTCACCCCTCAGGAAAGAATGCATTGATGATTCTGTCTCCCAGAGGGTTAATGGCCAACTCCGGGATCCTCTGGAAATCTTCTCGACTGCAGACGTCAGGAGATAAAATGGAAGTGAGAATGCAACTTGATTAAAAAAATAAACACAATTTAGAAACAGATCTATAAAAAGATGTGACACACTCATGTCTTTGTTATTATTTAAATTCAGAATTGAAGAAAGAAGAAAAACTTTTGGCAAATAAACATTCTGAGAGATATTTTTAGCAGGGGCAATGTGTGTTGAAATTATGTTTTTTTATTTCATCAGTAGGACCAGAAGTTGATCCAACAACTGGGACGGCTAATGAATGACAGGGAAGTCACCTTGGACATAAATGAGGCTGTACCCGAATGCGTGCTGTGACTTAAAAGCACTGGAGCAAGAACAAGTGGAGCCGAGAACTTGTTATGTGTAAACACAAGAATGAGTTTAACACAAAACTGTACAGAGTTAAGGCTCTTTTTTAAATTCTATCCCAGGGGAGACTGATCTGAAAACAAATCTTCTTTGCCAAGTCAAACAGTAAATTCTCAAAGTAAAGTTTAAGCAGCTTCAATGATTAAACCATTTGTTCACCTATTGCTTGTTCTGCTCAGACGATGGGAAGAGTCAACTGCAAGTTAATCAAAGACTAAACAGATGTCACATTGAGGTCTCAATTACTGACTTCATGAAAACTCACTGACTTCATGAAAAGATTTGAGCCACATAACAGAAAATATCCTTTGAGCTGTGGTTGGTTTCAAGTCAAACTGCAGGATGAAGAAACCAGACCAACCAGCCACATCTCCTGGCTGGTGTTTAACTAACTTAATGAGACAATGGTTGATACATGATTTCCTACCTGAGGGTTCCGTTTTCACCTTTATCCAGGCTGGTGAAGCGGCTGTACAGGCGAGTTATCTGACTGTGGGAGACTGTGGGTAAGAAACCAAAGAGACATCGTTTTTTACAGCTACATGAGAAGATAACAGATATTCTTGTCACCTACATATTGGAAATCAATCAATTATAACAATCGTTTTCAGACGGAGTACTTAAACACTATTACCCACAGTGCTAGAAGAACCCTGATCTTTAAGTTTAGTAAAATAAGAATTTTAAGAAACATATAAGTAATTGAAATCACATTTGACTAAAAGTCCCACATTTAAAATCTTTCTAAAGTAAACAGTCATTCTCAGCAACATATACCCGAAGCTTCAAAAACAAAATGCATTACATCGGATTGATTACTTACATAACTTTAAATAAATTATAATCAATGATGCATCATGTAAGCATTATTTTATGTTTATGACAATATGTTATATTTCATCATCTGTCCATGTATTGTTATTGCAGATCTCATTTTGTTGTTTGTTGTTAAACTGCAGCTTATTCGGTGAAACTACATCACATACATGTGGCTCTAATGAAACTGTCCTGCAGGAAATCTACCTCGATGAATGTGATCATGGTCAGTTGTTGTTTTTCTCTGGAGGTTTCAGTTTATGGTGGATTAAATGAACAATTCTCCTTTTACTGTTACCTCATCACCTGTAGGAAGGCGGTTTAATGAATAACCGAAACACAGACTCGATCCCACAGAGTCAATTCAACCAGCATTTCTCTCAGAACACGTTCGAAACAAACTTCATGGTGGAGTTAAGACAACTTTACATCTAACCGGGTGTTAAACTGAGTGATCAGTTACACAACCGATGTCAATGGTGCCACTTCCCATTGCTACCTGATTCTAGGATTTGACTCTGCTCGGATGTAAGTAACGCAATGTTAGCGTGAATGTGTAAACACGCCGATCAGCCTGAGCTCGACTTACAGCCGGTCTCCTTCTTTATCTCCTCGATCTCCTCCTCCCTGAGTAACGTGGACGCTCTGGAGCCCATGGCTGCGCGAGACCGGACAGTTAGCACACGGGCTAACTTGAGGAGCTAACAGCCCGCTGGTGTCGGAGGTCGACGCGGGGAGAAAAACGCGGCGGAGGCTGAAGCCCGGGGCTGTGTCTTCTCCTCCTGAAGCTTCTCTCCTCCTGGAGCTTCTCTCCGCGGCCGCTGAGTGAACTAACTCCGCTTCTCTCCGCTGCGTCGCGTTTTCATGATCGTCTCACGGGTTTCGGTCAATTTGACTTCCTGCTCACACAAACAGGTGGGCGTGTCCTAAACCAGGCCGACCTCCCGCACAAGGACCCCCGCCTGGAGCGTTTAGGTAGCTCATTCCACGCCTGCGCAAAAATATGAAGATTATCACTTGTATACAATAATATTTCGACTCGTATTTACAATATTAATGACTCTGCTGAATAAAGACTTATGCTTCTTTCAATTTAAAATATAAATATATTCAAGTAACCAAGCAAGCAGGGGGGGTCACTATTTCTGGGTCTGCATTTATATTATGTTATTATATTATATCATATTGTACTATATTATATTACATCATATTATATCTTATTATTCTCATTTATATTATATTTTATTACATTATAGTAAAATACATTCAGGGACTACAAATAAAGGTGCAGCTGAGACTTGTTATCAGTTTTGAAAATAATTGTAATTACACAGCTTTGACCTGCTGGTGACGCCACAAGTCAATTAGGCCCCCCGATTTAGATTAATTATTCTTGTAGCGCCACCTTCAGGACAAAACGTCAGTGCGTTCAATACTGGAGTTCATGAAAGATGCACAACTAATGTCTCCTGCTGTTTCTGTGCACATTAGTCATTAGCCAGGTTCAATGAAACACTTGAAATATCATCATTAAACACAATTATATATATATATATATTAATATATGTATATATATCTCTATAAAAAAGCTTGAAGATGATGGCTATTGAGATTTTTATTGTTAGATTTTATTTCAAGATACAACAAAGTCTCTTGAGGTTCTACTAACATTCAATATTTTGTGGTGTGACCTTAACATGTCAATCAAACGTTCACATCAAGCCACACACATGAAGCTGAAAGCACAACAAATGTACATGAATCAGAAAAAATCAGAAGCAGTAAAACATGATCCACAAACCCAGGACAGGGGGTAGGTAGTGCAATTCATCATAAAAACACATTCAAATTCTTAGTAAAAAAAAAAAAAGCATGTTGATAAAACAATAACATCAGCTCAATGTCAGTTTGATTCCTAAACAGTGCAAAGACAAAACATAATCTCCGCTTATTCCACATGGAAGAAGAACCTGATCCAAGACTTGGTGGATCTGGAGAAAGATTTTCACTTGCTGAAATGACACACGGAGTCCATGGCCAGCTGGATGCTGCAGAGAGAAACACAATAATATTACCTATGACGTTTATTCTAAGACTATAAAACGCATCAGCAATTTCCTTTTAGCTCAAAAAGCAGTTTAGAAATTACTTTGATGATTACTGATCTTGAAAAGTGAGAATGTTTCCTGTTTCAGTCCCAGTCCTCATCGGTTTGTTTGTCACAGCAGCAGATCTTCTGCTTCAGGAAGCCGGGGATCATGGGTATATCCACCGTTCAGTTGTATTTCAGTTCAGTGAGTGCAACGAGGCAGAGTTCCACTCACACATCAACAGACTTTGTCTTTTGTGGTCGAACAATTTTTGCCAAACTTAACTTTTAAGGACAAAATTTCAACCGTATTAAGTATAGAAATCATTTTTTATTAAATATGAAGCAACTATTTTAAGTTCTGTTAAATTAAGGGTGAATCTGAACGTACCTGTTTGCAGGGTATCCTCTCTCACACAGGTTGACCAGAGCGAACAGATGTCTCAGAGCGTATTCGTACTGAAACACAAGAGGGCATCGCGTGATAAGAGCCGTCAGGGTCTTTGATTCAAAGTGTGTGAAACTTAAGAGTGTTTAAACTTCCCCCACTGCATTTGTGGCATCTGAAATGTCAAACATGATAAGAAAAGGTTTTCTGAATAACCACATACAGCTGTGTGAAATTACACAGGGAAATGTGTTTCATCTGGCGTTTCCTCTTTTAAAGCAGAACCAGACACTCGACACGTGACTCGTACTCCAGATGAGATCACGTCATCAACAGTCACCACCAACACTTTCTAAGTTTAACAGGACGTCCTCTGTGTGATTTAAAGGAGCAGAAAACGAGCTGTGCAGCGTTACCTCAGTTTTGTGCCAGTTGAAGCAGTTCTGTTTGTAGTGTTTGACCGCAGCCTTGTAGCACTGATGCTGGGACAGGTCGGCTCTCTCGTTGAAAACCTCCTCAGCCTTGAGCTTACTGCCCGTCACCTTCTCAACCACTTGGTGCATAGTCTCGGCGAGCATCTCCCTGACCTGAACACACACGTTCACATGCTGTTAGAAATCTGGAACCGGTCACAGTAATGAGAAAAATGCAGTCTCAGCCATTAAACCAGTGAGTCTTTGTGAGTCTTTACCTTGAGGTGTGCGTTGATCTCCATCAGCAGCCCCCTTGCAAGTCTGATGTCATTAGAGGCCATCAGCTTCCTCTTGAGGATCGCCAGGGGAACGTCAGGGCTTGGGGTCAGATCCAGATTCTTAACTGGCTGCAGGGTCACTGAGGGAGCGGGCAGGCTGTAGGATTTCTGGTCACCCTGAAATGCTACCACCTTCATGTGGGCCAGTGTCTAAATGGAGATTTAGAAACTCAGGATGAGTGATCGAACATAAACGCTCACCATTCTGCCAGTCGCAATAAACTTGTTAACTCCACATTTTCATTCGTTTCTCCACCTTGTTCCCGAACTGCTGGACGTGGCTGGTGTTTGTGTGACTCCGTACAATCTTGAACTGCTTCAACAAAGTTTCTTTTGTCAGGTCCTCCTGGAAACACGACATCGGACAAATAAAAATTAACATCACAAACATATAATCAAATCAACTTTTAGTTTTTATACAACATGTGTTTGCCAAAGTTTCCAGGGGGCTTTCTACTTCCTTTTCGTGCCCATGTGACCAGGTGGAAACAGTAATGAAAACTTCAACGTACTATATTTAAGTCAGTCATCAAATGAACATATATATCAAACTGTGACTTAAACCTGACAATTATTTTTATAACTTTATAATGATGACTGGGAACAGCAGAAGAAACGTCACCCACCACATCAGAGTCCTCCATCCAGTTAACGCTGTACCAGTCGCCCAGGTACGTGTCTCTCTTTTCGTCATAGTAACAGGCGTAAGAGGACTCATGGGAGTTGGCTGCTGTGGTGGCGTAAACTGCAAAACAGAGACATTCTCCTGTTAGCGAGTGTGAAAGTTTTGGTAGTAACAGATTTTGATTTGACTGTATGAAAACCATGATATGAATCACACGACAGTTTGCGAACACATTAAGAGGAACGTTATTAAAAGGTCCAGACAATTTGACGCAGCTTGATTTATTTTATTTTTTTATTGCAACAAAACTAGTGAATTGAAATTAGTGAGTCTTGCTCATATGTCACAGCTTTGGTTTCAAACAATAAAAACCAGAACTATGATCCATCTCCTGTGTGGCTAAGTTAATAACACGAGGGCGAGCACGTGACAAAGAACAAAGTTCAATCACAAACCAAAAGGTAAATTCATGTTGCAGAGGTTTAATAGTTTAATAGTTCATCCATCGATGCTGTTTATTGATCTGTGCTGAGTCATCATCTCTTTTCACTGGAAAGTGCATCTGGTAAGTGCATCTGGTGAGATTCACTCAACTCACCGTTAATGTCAGCAGGCAGAGTATTCATCATTGACCCTGATTCACACGCCTCGATGTAAAACACCATCTGTCAATATTAACAAGTGTGTGAGAGAGAGGGAGGGAGGGAGAGAGAGGAGGAGGGTTGTGACAAAAAAAGGACAAAAACAAGTTGTGACGTGATCCTCACTTGACTGACTGTGTGACCTACACACACACACACAATGCAGGACATGTACACACATGCAGACTTGTAAATCACACACGAGCATGTTGCTGCGTACCTGTTTGTACTTCTGATTGTCATGCATGTATTTAATGGTTTCTTGGAGATCTTCAACGTGAAGCTGTGGGGGGAGAGAGAAAAGACTATTTCATTACAAAAGTGTAAAAAAAAAAAATAGACATCCAGCAGTAGTTGTAAATAATTAAGACCTCTGAATATTTTATATATATATATATAATATTGAATATTTTCACATTTGACAGTTTAATAAACTGAGTACGCTGTGTATTAAACTTTAATGGTGTCTGAATGCGCCCTCAGTACTAAAAGCTGACAATAGTTTGTGTTTCACTGAAGTCACTTTCAAGTGCTGGAAACAGTTGACCTGATTATCAGCTCAGAATAAGAGGTTTCAAAGACTGTGTGTTAGTGTCTAAGCACTCAGCTCCGTCTCACTTTATGACGAAAGATAATAATCTCACAAAACAAGCTGAACAACTATAAAAAAAAAAGCTGCTTTTTCCCCTTTGTGGTTACAAAGCCGTTTATTCGTTTGTTTCCTTCACTAAAGAAGGAAGTAAAACATTCCTCACCTCATCATTGGGAAAAGCCACAATACCAGGTGCCCCGTGGTCGGTGAAGTACACAAACACATGATCGTCGGGGCCGCTGCCAAGTCAAAGAGACAAAGGTTAGAAAAAACAAACGCGATGAAGCAGAAGTTGTGTCGTTATTAAGTTTCGTTTAAGACTCAAGCCTCCAGCCCTCGTTTTTGTTTTTTTAATCACTTGCCTCTTCAACACTTTTCCTGAGCCACCAGTGGTTTTTGAAGCATCACCCCTCAGCACTGCCAGGAAGTTTTCTGGAGTCACAGCCTGCGGTAAAGAAACAAACCCAGTCAGAAGAAAGTGAGTTGTTAAATTGAGGTTTTAATATCAAACAAACTAGTGATTCCACAGCTGTGATTTACACTCTTGTACAAATATACGTGTATTGAAGCGCTTACATCCCCCGTGTAATCTTTAGGAACTCCCTTGTACACGTCTGTGCCATTCGGCCTGTTGATCACTATCCCAGGGGTGGGGTTCCTGGAAAGAGCAATATGATTCAGATCTATAGAGGAAGAAGAAACTCGCTGACAAAACACCTTTTTGTGATGACAGACCTATTATTCACTGATCACATGACGAGAAGCGCCATCTAATTTTGAGGTTATTTTCCCCGTTCACAGCAGAATCTCAACAACACCCGATGTGTATGTGAGACGGCAGCGCTTCAGTATGA